AGAGGAGCACCACAACATTTTCAAGATTGCAATTGAAAGTATTTCACAGATTCAATCTTATGAACAGGTCTGTTCCCTCTTAGCTTTGCCAGAGGAACAAGAAAATGCTCAAGAACCTGAGCAGTTCATGGGTTGCACTGTGAAGCAAGATAGCAGTGTCCTCTGCAGGAGTAAAACTTCAGGTATTTATTTAGAGTTTTGAGGTGGACTTCCAGGGTGAACATGAACAGTATTCGTTCTGTACTTTCTTCGAGGCACTCCCAGTTTCCGTGTGTGGTTTTGTTGTTCGGATTTTTTTCCTCATGCACTTCTTTTATGAGCAAACACAGACCTCGCTGTTCCTGTGTCCTCCCACACAGTATTTGTGTAGCAGGGTGGACTTCGGCATCTTATGTTCCGTGGCCTATGTCACTACTTTAGTGTCAGCAGGCAACTGTCACTCGTAAGTTAAAATTTTAGCAAGGTGTTGTAAAGGTAGCAGAAGAGATTTGAGAAGGCGTATTTGGAAGGTGAAGTGGGGACAGTTATGGGAATGATTGGGAAGGTTAACTTCAAGGGGTAGATACTTGCTAAGTTAGAGAAATGGCCAACAGAGACTCAAGCTCAGAAAAGTCTGTGATCAGGGAAGTTACTGAAAGTGAGAAATTGTGTTTGTGGATCTAGTTTGCCTGGAAACCAATCAGTATGGGAAAAATTCCCCTTGGAAAATCCTCTGTAAATGCAGTGTTTGAAAGAAGCGAGTGAAACATTTTTCTATGTATGGTAACGTTTTATTCAGATTGCTAATGAAGTTGGCCATTATTTCTCAACCTCAGCTTTAATTTCCAAAAGGATCTTTTAATTATTTATATAATTTTTTTTCAATTTGAAGGGAATGTTCTACATAGGATTAAAAGCAAGCAAACAATCCCACTAAGTGAAGCACTTACCCATTTGCTCCCCATCTTCCAGCACAAAATGTTCCTCCCCAAGCTTTTCTCCCTTAAGATGCATTTTCAGTAAAGCTTTATACGGATTTTTGAGTTTTCTTTTCCTGACATTATTGTATTTACATGTGAAGTTAAAGTAAAACTTATACATAAAGATTAATTATGGTTGCACATGGAGAGGAAGAAAAAATAATTTAAATGTTGTAATAATTTGTACATTAAAAATGCCCGCTTTGACTAATAAGTATTATGCATGCTAAGGATCTGGGTTGTGGGGTTATTTTGTTTGCTTTTTGAGTGATCTGAGTAATAATCGTTCATTTTGTGGGTTTTGGTTTATTTTATCTTTTAGTATAATGCCCGTATTTTATTAGGTAAAGCCAATTACTGGTGTAGCAAGGCTCTGAAGTGCCAGACTGCTTTCCCTTGATTTTGTTTCCAGTTTTGTTTGTTGCTGGCCCCTCTCCCTTCCTATGCACCCGTCCCTGCCCAGAGGCAGCAGTGGGGCCAGGGCTTGGCAGCTTCCTCCAGCAATCCAGCACGCCCATGTGCAGGCTGGTAGGAGCATGGCCAAGTGCCAGAAGGGAGGAACCTGCCTGCCCTTTTTCCAGCAGAGGAGGAGAATATGTGTTTTGCTTTCAGTTCTCATCAGAAATGTTGTTTTTTTGCTTTTTGGTCTCATGAGCTTGAGATCTTAAGAGTCCTTGTATGGGTAGCAGCAACCATTGCCTCTAACAGTTGTTTTTCCTTTGGGGTAGCAGTATCTTGGAAGTGGTGATTGGATGGATTTTATAATCTTAATTTGCATCTACTTCATTAACGTGTTTGGCTTTATCATGTTCTGTAAATTTTCAGTGAGGTGCAGTGGCTTTTGTTTGTGCTGGGATACTGTCTCTCTAGAGCATTGAGAAAGGCCCCATGCAGCTGCTGCCACACCCATATGCTCTTTGTTGGTATTTAGCATCAGTGAAAAGTCAGAAGTAAAAATTCATTATTTTGCTGAACTGCAGGGATGACCATCAGAGACTTTTCCCCAAAATTTAGCTTAGCATTATGGTATGGGCTTATGGTATTAGGGCTTAATATTATGCTATGGGCTAATATTAATGGTCTGGGCTTCAAGAAGACCAAGTGCCAGGTCCTGCACTTGGGCCACACCAACCCCAGGCAATGCTCCAGGCTTGGGGAAGTGTGGCTGGAAAGTGTCTGGCAGAAAAAGACCTGGGGGTTCTAATTGATAAGTGGCTGAATATGAGCCAGCAGTGTGCCCAGGTGGCCAAGAAAGCCAATGGCATCCTGGCTTGTCTTAGAAATTGTGTCACCAGCAGAAGTAGAGGAGTGATTGTCCCCCTGTACTCAGCACTGGTGAGGCCACACCTGGAGTATTGTGTCCAGTTTTGGGCACCTCAATTCAAGAGAGATATCAAGGTGCTGGAGTGAGTACTGAGGAGGGCAACGAAGCTGGTGAAGGGCCTAGAGAATCAATCTTATGAAGAACGCTTGAAGGAGCTGGGAATGTTTAGATTGAGAAAGAGGAGGCTGAGGGGAGACCTCATCAGTCTCTACAACTGCCTGAAAGGTCATTGTAGAGATGTTGGTGCTGGTCTCTTCTCACAGGTAACTAACGATGGAAGAAGAGGGAATGGCTTCAGGCTGCAACAGGGGAGGTTTAGACTGGACAGTAGGATAAACGTTTTCACAGAAAGAGTAGTCAGACCCTGGAATAGGCTGCCCAGGAAGGTGGTTGAGTCACCATCCCTGGATGTGTTTAAGGGTCATTTGGATGTGGTGTTGGTGGATGTGGTTTAGGGGAGAACTTTGTAGAGTAGGGATGATGGTTGGACTCGGTGATCTCAAGGGTCTTTTCCAACCTGAATAGTTCTGCGATTCTATGATTAAAAGGGAAAAGAGATAGGACCCGAATATTAATGTAGGATATGCACTAGTCACACCCAGAAAAATAAATTTGCTCTCTCTGCTGACTGCCCTGTGTACAGTTTGCACTCCCTTTGTACATTGCTCAGTAATTGTCTTGTATGCCGTATTTAGTGCTGAAGGTCTTTTGCACTGTCTTTGCATATGGAATGAAAAATTACATAAACCTTAGTCATTGAGAGAGAAGTGCTTGTATAATCAAAAGCTCGTTGTCTCTTCAGCTGTAGCAGCCAATCTGATAAAGGAAACTACATCTTACAGCAGACTCTCTTTAGGAGAGTGACTGTTTTGTATGCAGTCATGTTATTTTGAGCTTTCAAAAAACATTCAGGAACCTGTTTGAACATTTAGGTTTTTCTTAACATTGCCCTGTAAAATGACGTTTGCTCTGTGTGGAAGTGCTAAAATAAATGCTTTCAAGAGCCTTTATATTTAAGTTATTTTAAAACTCCTGGACAGCACTGCAGGGAAAGATCTCATTTGAAACCAAGGCCAAAGGGAATGCAGGAAAAACATTTACCATGTTATGAAGAGTATCTTATAAGCATCTGATATGATGGAGAAACTTCAGTGGGCCTTTGCCCTTCAGATATAATCTGGTTATGAACAGTGACATGTTAGCTAATCTGTTCTTACAATTAAATAAGCAGAGTTGGGTTGTGATGGTTGTGGGTGGCTTTTAACTTAAATTTGCATGCACAGAAAAAAAAAATAAATCCAGTTAAAGACATCTCTTACAGATTTACTGGTTGGTAAGAGGCTTTTGTAAAGCTGAGAAACTGTGTTCTCTTGTTTGAGTCTGTTAGGCGCTTGCATACTGGAGCAGGAGTAAGGTAGGCTTAGAGCTTTGTCTGCTCTGTTCATTTCATTTTGTGTTTGTTCATTTCTCTCCCTTTTAGATTTAAATGCATATATTCAGCATGAAGTCCAGACAATTTTAAATAACTTAAAGATTTCCTAATTGTATCTTCCTTTTTTTTTTTTTTCATTCCACTGTTGCTACGCAGAGAGCCTTGCAAATCAAAAGAGGAAGTTAACATGATTATGCAAAATAAAAACAATCCCACAAAAGCAGCTTCTCCACCCCCCAAACCCAACCCAGAACTCCACAGCTGAAATCCAAAACACAGCAAAATGAGCCAGATGCAAAAGTCAGTGCTTGAGGATAAAGAAAGGAAGGAGATAGTGTTTGCACAGCAGCCCAAAAATAGACTGGGAATTGTCACTAAAAATAACCTTGAAAAAGTTAACAGTGATTGTGGATGGTTTCTTTTTCTGGAACAAGCTCCTTGAGTTACTTCTACCATTATTCCTGATAGTTGCTTGGCATAAAATAAGGCTTTCTATATTCTGGACTGTAATTTTTGTTTTGTCCTTCATTTAGCTGTCCTTCCTTTTCAACCTTCACTTCTGTTTTGGGCAGCTAATGACTTGGTGCACTTCTGCGCTGTCAGAGGAACTATCAGCTTTGAGAGATCCAATTTGTTCTAGTGATCTTATCCTTTCAGTAACGCTGCATATTTCATGGCAATGCTGTAGGCATGAATTGCATCTCTGCTGCTGCTTACTCTGACCTTGCACTTTTGCAGACGTTTGCATTTAAATGTCTTCTAACACGTCTCATACAATTACTCACTGGAAGACATGGCTTGTTTGTCAGAAGATTTTCTACTTGTGATTAGTAAAACTGTTCTGTGCAGGTCGAAAACTTAATAGAGCAATAAAGTGAGCATTTTCAAGTAATACATCTTTAGCAACATAATAGACAAAGTGAGGAGTAAGTAGTAACAGAAATGAATGAGAGAAATAGTCTGAGGAGTGACTATATCCGACTGTTTTTATTGGTTTAGCAATGGGAGGAGGTTTTGCAGGGAAAAGGCTATGTGACTTGTGCAGTTCATGTCCAAAGTGTTGAGAGAAATAGTCTGAGGAGTGACTATATCCAACTGTTTTTATTGGTTTAGCAAAAGGCAATGGGAAGAGGTTTTGCAGGGAAAAGGCTGTGTGACTTGTGCAGTTCATGTCCAAAGTGCGGCCACTGCAAATGTGCTGTCTATTTTATGTGGTGTAATTAGTGAAACATTACAGAAGAAATTACAGAAAATAACTGTCACACATACTTTTCAGATCTTTGCAATGAATTATCCTGGCTATCCCCCACCAGGTGGATATCCACCAGCAGCCCCAGGTAAGTTGTTTAAATAAAGTAAACATTAAATGGCAGTGGTGGTCCTTTCTGGAGTAGAAGGATGGAAATGACAACGAATAAGACTTCAGAGGGTTTTCTTGACTCACCAAGGCTTTCTGTGCTCTCTTGTTAAGATCCATTTTATCTTGGCTAGGGATTCTGATTTATATATTGTGGGTGCTGTACCATGTGTAACATTGTACAGTGGAAGGCCAAACTAGGCTCGGAGGATAATTCCTATTTCTCAGCAGAGTATTCTGGCTTAGCTAGACTGCTGTGTGGACAAGACTGCACTGCTGTATGTAGCCAAGTTTTGTGACTTGTATATCTGTGAGTGTGCTGTGCTGAATGCTCTGTAGACATCTCTCAAATCAGCAACCTGAAAGGATCAATAATATCTTCCTCCTAAAATACCCAGACAACTTTGTAGTTTACAATAAACTATTATCTAGTAAAAATATAGTGTTTACAGTATTAACTCTTGATTGCTGACCTTCAAATATGTTTAGAGTTTTTTAAAATGAGAATGTATAGATTCATCGATAATTAATGTGATTAGAAATATGAAATGAGGCTTCTTTTATATCATAATTGCACTGATAGCAGTTTATTTTCCTTCTACCAAACTGCTAGTCTTGAACAGACAATACATTAGACATGTAAGTAGTAAGGAATACATTTTAAAAGGTGTAGTTTCTTGTTTCAGCACAGCTGTGTTTTATTTCAGGTAGCAGTCCTTGGGGTGGTGCTGTCTATCCACCTTCAAATCCACCTTCAAATCCACCTCCAATTGGTCTGGACAATGTGGCTGGCTATGCCAATCAGTTCAATCCTAGCCAGATGGCTGGAATGGTGCGTTTGCTTTTGTTTAATGTGTTTTACTCTGAGTTCCTTAAGGGCAAAGATGTGTTTCTGGAATCGCCACTGAGAAGTTTATAACTTGATTTCTGTGCTTTTATGTCTAGTCTGTTTAGGTCTCGACCATTCAATATAATCTATTGAAGAAAATGCTTACTGCAAGCTATTCCCTATTTTAGGGAAGTAGATTACTAATGCTGATTTAAGAGCCTAACTTTAAGTGTCCTGGACATAAAAGTAATATAACTTGGCTTTTGCTGTGTAGAAGAATAGAGGAACAGACCAGTAACACTGAGTATCCATTGTTAATATATGCACATCAACATACACAGTCCAGATTTTGTCCGTTACATGGATTTTGGCCACTTTGAATAAGGAACAAGACTGTGTGGTTTGAGGTATTGATGACTTGTCCCTGAAAAGAATATTGGCTCAGCTGTCTTTTATAAGCCCTGGTGTTTAACAGCTGGAAGTTAAACAGGTTGATTGAAGAAAATGCAGGGGTTTTCAGTGTGACTTTTTCCTGTGTAGCGTAGAAGTGAATGACATTTCTGACAACTTAGTCTTCAGAAATCTGTTTCACTGCGTAATGAAGGCAGAGTTTGTAGGTAGACATTTGCATTGTATATGCCTTTCTGAGGCAACAATTAAGTGATTTGGCAGCCAGCAGTCAAAATGTGCCACAAACTGTCTAGCGTGCACACAGCAATATCCTCAGCACCTTCTGAGTGTCAGTTCTTCTGGTTTCTCTGTAAAAGAGGGTCTGAGCCTGTGACATGGGAAGATGTTATTGCAAGTGGAGCAGAGTATCTTTGTGGCAGTTTCTGCAGATGTCTTTCCAAATGGAGTTCCAGAACTCTTGCTAGTTGTAAATTATTAATGCACCTAGTGCATCATAAAACAGCCAGAGGTTGCCCATAGTTAATTCCCTGCATTCAGATGATGCTGTGGTCACAAAGGCAACCATGGACAGAGAAGGGATAAGCATAGTTTTGTGCTGGTGGAATGAATTGGCAGAAGTTTTTAGAATAAGAGGTGTGTGGCTGCTGGCACTCTTCCATGTGAGTGGTGTGTAATGCTGGATGCGGCAGCAGGTGTGTGTCTTGGTTCTGCTTCTTGATGTATGGCAGCTGATTGTTACAATAAAGCAAGAGTCAACTGAATAAATACATGTTGGGGTTTTTTTTTCTATCTTGCTAGCTAGTAAGATAGATTATTGCGAAGTTCTTCTGCAGATACAGAACTGCTTATTTGTGTTGGTGAGGAGGGAGGTGGTATTGTGTTAAGCATATCGTTGAAACTCAGCTTTTTGAAAACCTTCCTGTCTCTTGCTTTATTGGCTGACATTGCAGGCATCCAACCTGGCAGGGACCTTTGGAGGGACAAATGTACCACAAGGCATGTATCCATCAATGCCTGGGGGCTATGCTCCAATCCCTCCAGGTGGCTTTGGGCAACCTCCATCAGGACAACAGCCCTCTTATGGAGGTTATCCTGCACCTGGAGGAAATCCACACTTCAAGAATAGCCATCTCCCTCCTTCTGGGCTCAAGCCTGCATGCTCCCTTGGGCTTTCCCTGTGGACCAGCTGCCCTTCAGAGGTGCAGAGGAAGGGGAAACCATAAAAAAAGTTCTGGCCACAACACAGTTTTCAGGAGCCTGAGGGCTTAAGTGAAAATGCCAGCTTACCCAGGATACCCAGGCGGCCCTGTGCCAGGCCAGCCCACACCACTGCCTGGTCAGCAGCCTATGGGCTTTGGAGGACAACCACCAGCAACTTTCCCAGGACAGCAGCCCATGCCGAGTTTTCCACCAGGCCCAGCTGTGAATCCATCTGTGCCCTCTTGCCCAGGAGCAACAGGGCCTGCAGTCTCTCCCATAACAGTAAGAGCATTTGATGCTTTTATTTTGAGATATGATCATGTATGTGTTTCTCTAAATTTTCTTTGTGTATATAAGTATAAACTGAGCCTACGATTGAAAGGAAAGTCAAGAAAACAGTTTTAACTCAAGAGGGAGATGGATTCTTTCCAAATACAAGCAGTATAGGCTTTCCAGTATATGACTGGAAACAAATGCTGTTTTACTATGTTATCCCAGAAAAAAGATTTTATGTGAATTCAAATTTAATGATATTGCTTTTCCTAACTTAACATGTTGGCAGCTGTGTATATGGTTCCATCAAACCTCAACTAATTGGACAGCAATTTTAATATCAGTGAACCTTATTGACCTTGCATTTTCTCATCATTTTGGTATAGAAAGGAACAAATTGTTTAAGGTGGGTTTTTTTGAGTTTTCTGTTAGTTTTCTAATAAAAAAGAAAAATGGTAACTGTGGTCATCTTTCCTAAGTAGTAAAATTGTCTTTTACTGATGACCACTGATAGACAACTCAACTTGGTCTCATTTTAGCATGGAAACCGAGGCACAATCACTGATGCACCAGGATTTGACCCCCTGAAGGATGCAGAAGTCTTAAGGAAGGCCATGAAGGGATTTGGTGAGCAGTGTGTGGATTTACTCTGAAGTTAAAAGTAGAGTTGCAGCTTTGATTCAGCACTGCTTTTCTCCACTGTGACACCTGTACTTAGTGGGCTAGTTCACATGTAGTTGTCCACAGTTATCAGAATTATTATTGGAAGTGCCTATAGGCATGAACAACATCATGAGTTTCGTTTTGGGGTGTTTCTTTGAATTCTTACTCTCCCTGTGATTGGAAGTAGTGCTTTAAGTTCTGTGGTCATATACAAGAGGAGGTACCATAGGTTAATTAAGGGCATGCATGTCACTTGGTTGGGTTTAGAAGAGATATGATCAAATGGAAAAGGAAGGCTGAGTTCTCCCTGGCCTGCACACTCATCTGTGCTCTTGGTGTGCTCATACAGGAACTGACGAGCAGGCGATTATCGATTGTCTTGGAAGTCGTTCAAACAAGCAACGGCAGCAGATCCTCCTGTCCTTCAAAACAGCTTATGGAAAGGTAAATACATGAGAAGAGAAGGAAGAAGAGAGGGAGCCTGCATTCCTTCACTGGAAGTCAAAAGACAGTGTTTGGAAAAAAAAGATGGAAATTTGCTTAAGGGGAAGATGGTTCACAGGTCATAGCCTGCTCAGGGTTCTTCTTTAACCCACTCTTGATTTCTTTATGCTGTGTTTCAGATGAAACATATAAAGCAGTTTCTCTGCAAAATGGGTACTTTGACTCTGATCTGTGCAGTGCCTTTCATTGGACTTAATTACCTAGATACATGTTAAATTATGCTGGTTTTAGTGTTGTTCAGTGGAATAGCTTTACTTAAAGTACATTATTGATGCTTGCTCATAAGAATTCTAATTAAATTCCATGATTTTGGTGCTTTCATTTGTCAATTTGGTCTTTGTACATTTTCCCTTGTTTTTACTTCTGATTAGGATTTGATCAAGGATCTCAAGTCTGAGTTGTCGGGTAACTTTGAGAGGACAATCTTAGCAATGATGAAGACACCTGTCATGTTTGATGCTTACGAAATCAAGGAAGCTATAAAGGTTTGTGCAGGAGATAAAAATGTATAAGATAGAGCAAACACTTGAACTGTTAAAATTTTTGATAGTAATTTAAAAGCTTGAACTTTTATTCCCTCCACTCCATCCAGATATTCAAGCCACCAATTCGTACCCTATTTCTTGGAGGTGTATGATAGTAAAACTGAGAAATGTTATTCCCATAGGTTGAAGACTATTGAATAGGTTTGTGTTGTAACAAGAATATATTCATAAACAAATACACGCAAAAAGGCAGAAACTGACTTATAACAGTGTGTGCAGTTCATTTATTACATAGTCCTGAGTAAACCACTGAGGTGGCTCTATCCTAGGTCAGCCACTGCATGGGGCACCTTTGTTGCTGGCTTTTTGCTTTGAGCTGTGATGGAACTCATTATAAGGCAGATCAACTTAGTTTCTACTGACTTTATGCTCGGTGCTTGAGAATAGTCCAGAAAACTAGATTTATAAAGATTTTCGGCAGGCATTTTATCTTTTTCCACACCTCAAAAATATTTTTTCCTAGCCTATGTTGAACCTTTTCTAAAATGCTGTGGAAGTATTGTGTACTTTGTCTTTAAAGCAATTAGACTACTTTATAAACATTAGGATTTTAAAAATAAAAATAGGTCAAACCTTTGCATTTCAAGGCAGTGCTTAAATGAATTTGAAATAAATGTTTCCATTTCTGAGTCAGTATGGATATTTACATGCTGTTTGTCTGCAATTTTAAAGTAGCTAGTAGGATGGAATAATATTAACTATATTGTAATTGGAACTGCTATCTATTAGTTGGTGAAAGTTACCTGTAAGAATTAACAAATTCATATTTAATGGTAGGAGAAATTGGTTCTTAAAATGCTTGTGTTCTGGTGTGAAGGATCTTTTAAAATTCAAGTTTGACTTCATAATTATTTTCTGTTTTATTTCTATATTTAATATATATATGTGTCTCAGAAGTGTAAGTAGCATTTAGACTTCTTGCTTTGACTTCAATAACATGATGATATTCTGAGTTTTATTTTGTTGTATAATTTTATTACATTTCTTCTATACTAAGTTATAGAAGTAAGATGAGAATCTGAAGAGTGTTTTCTCCTTGTGCTTTGTTTTAGGGCATTGGCACTGATGAAAATTGTCTCATTGAAATCCTAGCTTCTCGCAGTAATGAGCATATTCGGGAACTCAGCAGGGTCTATAATGCAGGTTAGATTTGCTACAGTTACATCAAAATTTTTGTCTTTTTCTTCCTTAATCACTCACCTGACGATATGAATTTATTAAATGAGCAGGTGTGTATGATGATTCACAGCTGTGTCTCTCTTCTAGAATTTAAGAAAACTCTGGAGGAAGCAATAAAAAGTGACACCTCTGGACACTTTCAGAGGCTTTTAATTTCACTTTCTCAGGTACTTGTGTGCTGAAATTTTTGATTTGGGGGCTTGTGTGTGTGTGGTTTAAAAAAAAAAATAAAATTAAGAGGCCTAACACTTTTGTATCTTCAAATTCTTTCAGGGAAACAGAGATGAAAGTACAACTGTTGACATGTCTCTTGTCCAAAAGGATGTGCAGGTCAGTAGAAACTGTCTGGCTTTTCCAGGTGTTGGGTGACTCCATTGTGCTGCTCATTAAGGGTATTGTCCAAAGAGATTTGAGGTGATATGTGTATGGATTAAATGTTAATCTGTTCAGTATCTGCATTAGCCTCTGCCTGTTTTTTAAGGAACTTTGAATTGCTGCAGGAAATAAGGCACTGGGACCTAGTAACTCCTACTCTGTTACCTCTTTTGTTTGTTCCATTTTACCACATAGAAAAGAAAAAACCCTGGATCATTTGAGCATGCTTCTGGAATGTAATTAGCTTTCCACATATTGTATTGTAGCTGAAAGACAAGAACGTCCCAGAGTATATGTAGAGGCACAGAAAAAAAGCGCTGGATATAAGCTCTGTTAGGAAGAACAGTTTTCAAGTGCTTTTTAATCATTTTTTCTCTCTATTTAGTAATCTAGAGCTCCAGTAAGCTAGGAAGACTGCAAGCACAGCATGTAGGAAGTTTAGAGCTAGTTGCTATTTGTTGCTTGCTCCCATTTTCCAGCAGTAAACAGACTAAGAAAGAAGTATAAAAGGAGAGACTGTAAGGAAGCAGATCTGTAACTCAGCACTTCAGCCTGACTGCTTTTCTGAGTAACTAAGTTTGAATTCCCCTCTGTATTTAGGAGCTCTATGCAGCTGGAGAGAACCGTCTAGGAACTGATGAATCCAAATTCAATGCCATTCTGTGTGCAAGAAGCAGGGCTCACCTCAGAGCAGGTAATGGTGTCCTCTACACAAACAGTAACTTGATTCTCTTGTATGTAATGATAAAAGTGTGCAACAGCACTCTGTACATGAATTTTCTTCATCTGTAAAAAGGGTGTAATGATACCTCAGTGAAAAGAAGGGTGAATCCTGCTGAGGGAGAGAGTACACAAGCTGCACATTATGATAACCTTTCTTAAATATCAGACCAGGTAGAATTCATGCTTGTTCAAATGTTTCTCTGATAAAATAATAGAAAAACTAACATTGTTTCTGTTTTGCAGGCTTGTGTATGCAAAAGGCACTTGCAGTCCTTTCCTTCCCCTTTTACTTCCTAGTGAATTGGTGTCTGTAATGGTGGAAGTATTTTAGTAACTACATAGAACTTTTGTGATGTGCCACGTGTTGAGGCACTTACATGGAGAGGAAAGGGATGGGGGGGGGTGTGAGAACACAAACGTTTTCTTGACTTTATTGACACCCAAAGTTTTCCTAGAAGAATTTTCAGTAATTCCCTTACAGTAGTTTCTTGCTCTAACCCTTTAAAATTAAAGACAGACCTGGACAAGGTAGAAGGAGCATGATCACAAACAAATGGAACAATATGGTTAATATCGTATTAGTCTTTGAGACATTAAAACTTGTGTGAATGTACTGTAGTGTCAAGTTGAGAAGTGTGACTGAAATGAAGCCATCCAGTATGCACCAGTGCCACTTTTTGTGAGGTTGACTCCTTCCCTTCCATTAACAGTCTTCAGTGAGTACCAGAGGATGTGTAACCGTGACATTGAAAAAAGCATATGCCGTGAAATGTCTGGAGACCTGGAGAAGGGCATGCTGGCAGTAGGTATGTGTCTTAGCAGCTTGATTCCTGGTGTTCCAATATGAGTGGCAGAGATGGGTTCATCTGTGACTTGAACTAAGGATGTTATTCCTAGTAATAATTCCCATTTTCTGCTTTTTATGTTGAACTTTCTGTTAAGTCACTTATGGTTAGTAAAGCAGGTCACTTAATTAATCTCTAAATTACACTTGAAGCTTTTGCTTCAGGCAGCTGCAGAATTTAAATTTCACATGTTAAAGTGGAGAGATAATTTCTAACTGTACTTGGCATTGTTTTAAGAAGTGATGAGAACTTACACCAACTGCTGAGTCAGTAAGAATGGAGTATTTGGGACAGCTTTGGAAATCAAGCAAAATGCAGGCCTTAACCTTCTGATTAGTTACCTCTGCTTCTTTTTAGTAGAAAGAAAACTTAAACTTATTTTTTCCACATGTTCTGTGGTCACAGCTCTGTTATGTCTTTGTTTTTAAGTGCCTTCAGTACTTCTGAAGAGTCAAGACCCTTACCTCAAGTCTGTTTTTGTCCCTTGAGAGATAACCATTAGTTTCCATAAAGTTGGAACAAGCTTCAGTTTTTTATGCAGCATTTTTAATTGGAATCACAGAATGGTCAGGGTTGGAAGGGTCCCCTAGAGATTATCTAGTCCAACTTCCCCGCTAAAGGAGGATCACTTAGAGCACATGACTCAGGACTGCATCCGGGCAGGTTCTGAGCATCTCCAGAGAAGGGGACACCTCTCTCGGCATCCTGTTCCAGTGCTTTGTTGCCTCACAGTAAGGATGTTTTGATCTAGATAAAATTTTGGACCTTTCTCTCTCTTGTCTTTTGTCTCTAGTCTTATTAGACTATTTACATCTCAATTTCTTGTATTACTTAAATTTTTTTCACTCTTGTCTTCTGCATATGTGAACTATGTAACTATTGTTCTTTCTCTACTTGGCCAAGCTGTCACTGTAGTGGCATTTTACTGGCCCAAACTAGATCCAGCTCTGCTGGTGTGATACATATGTAGATTATTTTTTTTTAGGATTCAGAATTAGTCACCTCAAGAAGTATTGTTACAAAACAAAACTGAAAGAAAATACATATTTCTCAGTGTTCGTAGAAAAAAATAGTATATAAACTGTACTATCAGAGTTTGGAAATCCTTTGACTTCATGGGGCTTTGCAGCCACTTGACAGGTCTTCATGCAGCTACAGATTCAGAATTGGGACTTGTAGCTTGTAGACAAGTCAACAGCATTTTGAGTAAGAATGATCATTAGTATTCACTGAATAACTCCTTTATCACATAGATTTTGTATTGTGTTCTGTTTTGTTGTTTTCATATATGTATATACACACATGTATCAGTCACTGATGTTAGCATCATTTGTTCTATGAACTTTATTTTCTGGAAAAAAAAAAGGGCTTTCTAATTGAAAATATTTAATTTTGCTTTCTTTAAAGCCTTCTGGATTGTACAACTGGTAACTTAAAATAACACCTTCAAACATCTTAAAGTGCAGCCATGTTGTTCTAGCTAAATACAGTGATAAACATTTCATTTGTCATTTGTTTATGAATTCTATGAAATGTATCATTGACAATTGTGTGTGGTGAATTGCTATCTCATCTGCATTTTTTTGTGGAGAAAAGTATTTTTTTCCTCTATAGATTGTGTGTTGCCTTGAAAACATGGTTTTGGTTTTACTCCTTTTGTTCTGTATTGATTTTACGTGATTGCCTTGGATACCTTTTTGTGCTATAAAAAATGTGTGGTTTGTTTTCTGTGTAGTTTGCCACAGATTGCATGATTGTTTTACTTTAACCAGCATAGGATCAATATATATATTTTTTTAATTCTGAAGAGTGATGGAGGATTCTTTGGTTATACTGATTAACCTGGCTGTAATTTGATTTAGATTTTGCTCTTTCAGATTCCTAATGAACAGTGCTAATCGAATATAAAGTCCAGTCATTACTAAATAGGCATCTTGAGAATTTTTCAAGAGTCCCGGTATACTTTATGGCTAAAAAAAGCATAACTAACTTTAAAATAAGGGTAAATTTTCTATCATACATCACTTCCCAGCTTGTATTAGGGCAGGACGTGATTTTGTCATACGTTGCAGATGCGTGGCCTAAAAATCCTGAAACTGGGAGAAAGCCAGGAGCACCTGGCCACGTGTTCCTTCAAGTCTTCTGCCCCTTCCCCATAGTGTCTTTTCCCGTTGTAAGCAAGAATCTGGTCATTAGACCTTCAGGATTCATTCTGACTGCTTCATGCTGGGTGGTTTCTAGCAATGGCAAAGCTGGCTTGGAGCTGTCAAGTGTTGTGGGTTCTTTAACTTTATTGAAGCTACTGCTTGCAGTAAAAGTCATGTCAGTGGCTGACTGAAGGAGTGGAAACTGCATTTTATCAAGTGTATGATTATGTAAAATTAAAGCATGTTACCATCTAGAGTAAGTTTAAAAAAATGCCTGAGTTCTGGTTGAGGATGAATACCTGATTTCTGTAATACTGTTTCTTTTTGCAGTTAAGTGCCTCAAGAATACACCGGCCTTTTTTGCAGAGAGACTGCAGAAAGCTATGAAGGTGGGTGCTTGTGACAAGATGCATTTATAGTGTGTGTTCTGGTGGGTTTGGGTTTTTTTAAATGCTTGTACAACACGTTGGAATGAGTTGTTTAACTGAAAGTATTACATTTTTCAGTGGTCAGATGACTAACAAGATTGCAGTCCTTGTTGTGAAAGGCTGGAAAACTCTAGCTGATTAGATCCACTAAGTAAAGAGATGCATACAACCATATCTTAAAAGGAGAAAGTCTCCACTTGGTAAAACACAAATCTGCGTAAGACTCATGGAAATTGATATCTTTTAAGTAGGGAGGTCTAAGCTAAAATAAATAGGCCATTAGATTTATCAAACTATCCTGACATCCTCTTCCTCTGACAACACCACACCCCTTTTTTTTTTTCCTGACTGTTCTTGTGCAGAGGAATTACTTTAGTGTCCCACCAGTAAATTTAATTTATTAAAGCCTGACAGGCCAAACTGTGTTAAAGTTTATTGAAATCAATGGTGTTATGCTAGTAAATTGTTGGCCATTTGTGGGGTGATGATTATTTTGTTTTTGAACAGTTCTGTATCATCCAGCATTTCCACGCATTATTGACATGTTGTTTTGCTTGTTTCAGGGAGCAGGAACAAAAGACAGAACTCTGATTAGAATCATGGTATCACGCAGTGAGGTGGACCTGCTGGACATACGTGCAGAGTACAAGCGGATGTATGGCAGATCCCTCTACTCAGATATCACGGTAAGGCTTCGAGATTTTATCTTCCCTGCCATGGCACCCTTTCTGCTGGTAGAACATGGATCCTTATGCTGAGCAGCTGCAGTTAACTGCACTGGGTGTAGCTGCCTGTGTTTGGTTTGCTGGGTTTGTCAGGAGAGTGGAGGCTGAAGTGCCAGAGAAGAGAGCTCTTGCTTTTGTGTGGGGACTGGATGAGCTAGAGATGGCAAGGAAGTCAACAGACAAGGAAGGGGAGAGAAATTCATCTGAAGACATTTCAGACACCTGGTTTTAAGTCTGGTCTCTGTCCCAATTGCTGTATGTTTTTGTAGAAACCCTCCAGATGGGTAATAATGGTGATCCTACCTTGTGTGTGTTGAAGGAGTTTAAAACTCCTAGCACACTTCTAAAAGTTTGCCTCCTTTTTCTCTTGAAAGTACAAGATTTTGAATCTTGAAATAATTCTGCTGTTCAGAAACAGACCACACACATTAATGGGCTGAACTTATTCAGAATTTGGTTCCAGTAAATATGAGGCATGTGTGTGCACAGTAATATGCATGTAAAGCCTATATCTTATTTCTGTAAAAAAAATCACTTGCTAGCCCTAGAAAAATGTCTACATTGATTGCAAGGAAAAGGAGTTCTGTATTAATTTTTCCATATTTTCATACCTTTTGCTAGAAGACAATTTCTCAGTGAGTGTTTTTTATAGAACTGTTGTGAATAGTTGAACCACTGCACTAAATTCAGTTTGCTAAAGAAATACATTCTCTAGAGATACTTTCAGTTCCAGTTATAGAAGGAGCAGATTTTACTGTGTACTTGTATTAAAGAGATTTCTAAGTAGCTGGTTTTTTAATTATTTAGTTAATATTTTTTTTTTTTCTTTTTCTTTTTTATTTTTTTTTTTTTTCTTCTCCTTTGCTTTGTCTCGTAGATTGCTATATCTTGTTAGGATGCTTGTACTATTTTCCCCTTCTCTTTCAAAGCACAGGTCTTCAATTTGTCTTTTTCTGGGTCTCTTTTCAGGGAGATACTTCAGGAGATTACCGGAAAATCCTACTCAAGTTGTGTGGTGGAAATGACTAAATGAAGCATTGAGCTCTTCTTTAAAAAGCTGCTGGTTATACATTTTTGCTTTAAAGCATCTCTTTTTTTTCCAAAGTAAATATATAATGACCTGTTTCTACTAAAGCATTTAATTTTTAAAGGTACTATTGCATGTATCTTCCCTTCAGTCCAAAAATAATAGGCAATAAATGAAAAAAAAAATAAAAAAAAATCAAGCTTATGTGCCATCTGCTTAGGATTCTGTAAAGTAATCTCAGAAATCCATGAGTGACAGGTCATTATTTCTCTTCTGCTTATATTATGCTGATATAAGTTGTTTGGTTTATGGAGCAAAAATCACAGTTGATGATTTAAGGTTTTATTTTTTGTAAACATTATGGGCTATTTTAATGCAAGTTTTATATATGTTGTGTGCAGAGTTGTTTTTGTGCTAGCCTGCTACATGATACATGGAGAGTGGCCTTGAGTTTTCATGTCTAGTTAAGGCTGTTTGAAAGAAGTTTTGACAAGTTGTTTTCTTTCCTTGATTGTTTTGAAGGAAAATGTTCCACATTTCATTTTCACTAAGGTGACTGTCATGAGGCAGTAGTTATGTAAAGATTCTATAGTTCACATTATAAGGTTTCGGATTTTGCCTTAAATATACGTTTGTAAAAAGAAATGATGAGATTAAAGCTGTGTATCTTCTAATTCTTGGTAGACTGTGCTTTTTGGGGTTGATTTACATGTGAGTGATGACTTTCTTTATGTAACTTAGCTTTTTTCCATAGAAACTCTCTGCCAGAATCCACAAAATTATTCATAAATGGTTGTGTTGACAAGATTTGGGGATTTGTGTGCTGTTGATGAGCAATTGTCTGTCTGTATGTGATATATGGAATCTGTAGCTTTTGCTCAGTATTTTTGTTTTGCCTGTTGTAATTTCTCTGACTCCTGGAACTCTAAATTTTTATTCTCTGCTAGCATGGGTGACATCTCTTCATCTCGCATGTCTCAAAATAGAAACATGTAAAAAAAAACCAAAACAAACAAAAAAAAAAAAACGCCAGGTGGGAAGAGATTTGGAGCTAGGTCAGTGAAGATAGACTGCTTGTTAATCAAGGATGTGCAAAGTCCTCTCATCTTGCATGTTCTTTCTCTCCATTCTGTAAAGGGCAGGCAGGTCCTTTTCCCTAGAAGTTGTGTTGCTGTTTGTCATAGAAGAAAACGGTGGTTTGATGGGGATGAATGATAGAATTAATTCTGTGTTGCATTGTGACTATGGCAAAGGAAAAGAATGTAAAGGTACCACAATAAGGTGACTGTGAGTCCGAAGGATGAATTCTAGCTAGTTCCAAATTTCTTACTGAGCGTGCTGCACTTGAAATGCACTTTTGGTTAAGTAGGGCAGCTGAAAGATACAAAACATAAGGCTTTGAAATAGTTTCTAAAAGCAGTACCTGTTTATTATAAAGCACAGGAACACAGAAGGCAAACTATAGCTGAGGATTATTTACCTCTGCTCAGATTCTGGAAGCACAAGCTTATTAAATGAACAACAGTGCAACTGCTTTTGACAACCAAACTTTTAGACTGTACTATCTTCTGTCTTCACAGTGCTCAGCTGGTATCTGTATAGAGAAGAGTTGCTGTAATTAGTTTTGGTTATAGGAACAATCTTTGTAGATAAACATTGTTTAAACCATGAATTTTGCTTCTTTAAAGTGGGGATTTGTCACTTTGATTCACCAAATCACAGAAGGAGGGTCCTAGAGCTCTGGAAGTGTCGAGCCATTTGGCAGTTGTCAGAAACTCCATCTGAGAAATACTTACTATAGATGTGATGTGACTGTGATGAGGTTGATGTAGGATTTCCATTTAAAATTCACTGTAACACTTTTCAAAATAAATTACTGTTCTTAGGGAGTAATTTAATTAGTACTTATTAACTGCCCCTCGCAGAGAGATGGAAATTTTGATGAATAGCAAAGTTGGTGAGGACCTATCAGTAATGGTGACCAGATCCATACAGCCAACTGCAAAAACTAACAACCAGCACAGACTGTACAGCTGTCTGCTGTGAGCCCACCTTCTCTCATGTAAGTGCACTATAGTATGCACGTGTGTATGTAAACAGACAAAAGGAAAAAAACAACACTGACAAAACTCAATTAATAAACATGTCTGTGGACACTCATACTTTTCCACAAGAGGTTTATTTTCCACCAGAAATTTATCTCACCTTGTTAAATGCACTATTGATATTTTGCAGAGAATGAAGAGGACGGAGCATTATAAGAAGCTGTGTAGAACAGCTGGTCTTATGCAAATAATTTCTGTTGTGGTTTAATTTATCCTAAAAACATTTATCCAGGAGCATGTTTTCTGTGAGTGGCTTGAGTGTCAGAAGTGCATTTTACAATCTCAAGATAGTAATGCTTCCAAAACCTTTTTTTTTGCATTTTGTTACCCTCCTCGGTTTCATTTGTTACACATGGAACTAAAGAATCACAGCATCTTAAAACTGAAAAAGACCTTGAGATTGCTTAGTACATCCTGCTGTTCTAAGTTATGGTGCTTGCTTAACATTTGCAGTGCTGGGGAAAATACAGTCATATAATTTCAGTGATTAACAGCCTTTGTAAGAAAGCTTCATGTTGTTTTGCTTAATTCTTTCTTGTTGCATTATTTCTGATTTTACTCACCTTTGCAATGAGGAAGAAAACACAGCTCTCATCTTTGTGTCAGCCTTACTTGTGCTGGGGGGCTACTGCAGTATTTTTTATACTAAACATCCCAAATTTAACAACATTTCTGTGTGGTTCGTGTATCTGGATCCTTGGCTTATTTTTTCTTTGGTGAGGTTTTTTCCTCCCTTTCCTTCCCCCTCCCCCCTCTTTACTGGTAGTTGAAACCTGGTGTTTAAAACTGGATCCAGTATTCCAGCTGAGGCCTTAGTGGCCCTGAATTGAATGAAGGCATTACTTCACATCCTGGAGGGGAGAAAAGATGGCATGTTTGGTAATAACATATGCAACAGTGTTTTGAAGCTATGTCCCCCCAGATACTTGCCATCAAAAATGTCTGTAAGTGGGGCTCCGGGAGGGATGGGGATGTTCATTGTGGTCTCACTGATGGTGTTGAGGAGTGATTTGACTTCTGATTCTAGATGCTCCACTGTTTTCATTACCGTCTAATTGAAAACAAGGGAGACAAATGGAGAAAAGGAGTAGTAAAAGTGTAAAGTGAAAGGAATTGTACCAAATGTGTTAGTGGAAGGGCAAATCTAGCTTCCCATAATGCTGACAGCTGGTTTAAGTTGCGCATTGCAGATTTAAGTATTTTTGGTGTTATGCTGGCCTCTAGTGGCATGAAGTACTAAAACTTTGTTTCACGAGTTAAATTACAATACCTCTTTATAGAATCACCCATAATTTGACTTTTTGGAGGGAGCTTGGCACTAAATTGTTTTTAATTCTCTCTCATTCCTGGGTCACCATAATTTCCAAGAAAACAATCTGCATGGAAGATATAAGAGGAGCTGGTGAAACGAAAAGAGGACGGCTGGGACTAGAGCAGGACAGAGGTAATGTTGCTATTTGAAAGCCAATAGTATGGAGTTTTGCAGCTACTCAGCTGGGAATAGTTAGCACTGGACTCATGTCTTGTGAGTGCTTAAGACACCAGAGAAAAAAAATTAAAACTTGACAGCTTTCCTAGAATCCCAGTCATAGAGTACATTTAGCTCTTGAGTGTCTGCAGGAGCAAGCCGAAACTCTGTCAGTCTTGAGTCACCTGCAAAATTCACATCTAGCCATAAGCAGATGTGAAACTTCACTAGTACCAGTTCTGACATTTTTTAGATAAGCTGTTTGATTGGCAAGATTATGTGTTTTTGGTAATAATGGCTTTAATGGGTAGTTACAACCATGATGTCAGAAAAAAGTAGCCAGACCTTGAATAGAATTAAATCAAGAAGGGTCAGCATCTAGAAGCATCGTTCTTATTTCTTTTCTTTGGTCAAAGGGATGGGACTCAGGTCTGGCCAGCCCCAGGAGCCAGTGCAATAGCTCTTACCTCCTCAATAATATCTAAGCGTTTGTGGATGGTATCATGTTCATTACACCAATTTCCTCTCCCCACACTTCCAGGAAACACTCTGAGAGGGTCTGCAGCAGCTGGAAAAACAACCACAGTTAATTAGCAGGAACTTTTCTATAACAGCCCTTACCTTTCTGACTGCTGAAGTTATTTTGCATGCTAAACAGCACTGTGGATGAAACCAAATGTAGGAGTCCCAGGTAGAAACAGAATCTCTCTTCCAGTAACTACAGCTAAACCTCAGTGCTGTGAGTGTCTCCTTGCCTGTACATGTTGTCACAGTTGATTTGAACAAAGTGTTTTATCTTGCCAGGGGTATTGTTTTGTGTGTGTTTGTTTTACAGAATCTGGTTCTTCCTACCTCTGTAATTTACATTTATAGACTGTAACTCTGTCGCTGCAAGTATAAAACCTAAGCACTGGGAAAATCTATCTTCCACATTAGTTCCTCTTTGGCTTTCTTCAGAAGCAGCTGGTATGGTAAAGCTTTGAAGATGAGCTAGGTTTGCTCACTTCAGCTCTGAATGGGTACAAGTGGGTGATTCCGTTGTCCCAGAAGCAGATCCATAACAGCCTAATTTTGCAATGGGAAGGTAAACAATAAAAGCGTGTGCAGGTGATGCCATTTGCTGACCAAGTTACTCAAATATGATGCTATATACAAGTTGCATGTCTCTGTGAGATATCTGTATTTACCTCTCAGTACTCATAAGCTCTTGCTTTTTGAATGTTTGAATGAACTCTGCTGGCTCTACTCCATGAAAGGTCAGTACCTGCTGGAGTCCATGTTTTACTGTAGCCCGTTTCTTTTTCATCACTTTTGTGCAACATTCAGTAACATTTAGATTTTAATATGTGTGCACAGAACTGTAGTACAGTATTTTAAACCACACTAAAGTGATAACGTTGCTTCATGTTGGTAAAACTAGGCTTTGTTCTTGTTTGAAGTCTAAGGAAGCTATAATAATGAGAAAACAGCAGTATCTCATTCCATTGTTGTTTGTAACAGAAACAAAGAGGAAACTGTGAGCCTGTGTTATAATGAACTGTAAGAAGCACAAGAGCAGCAACTGGTTCTGTCTTCAGTACAGTTGTGTGAGAGCAGTGATTTGAAACTGCTCAGTGTTTCATCACAAGTCTGTTCCCAGGTTTCTGAAGTGTAGATACTGGGCAAACACATTTCTGTAAGGACTGTAGCCATTGCAGTTTGATGGGATGAAAGATGTACTCTCACTTGGAATGGTATCCTTGAAATTGGATGGCATAGGGTGGAGAGGAGGAGAGGATTAAAATGTCATCTGACATACTAGATGTTATTTAGAAATTGGTTAGGCAGAGCTTATGAGATAATTTTTTGTTGTTTATTTTTAACAAGATTTTTATTTTGGGATTTTTTGGGCATTCGCCAGGAAGTGGAGCTGTTTTGACAGAATCCCAAAGATTTATTCTACCTGTTTCCAGAAGACTGCTGAAATGCGACAGCTAAATAAACAGTGGCTGCACTTGCCCTGTTTTTCCCATTTGTTGCTGCTGGTGGTGTTTTGGGAGAGTTGGGACCTTCTAACTTAGTGGTCAAGTGAACCATGCTGCTTCTCAAAATTTGTGCTTATTTACATGTTTTTTCTATCATGGAGATACGGAAATTCTGTGTTAGAAATTGGGGTTATAAACCACTGGTCAATCTTTGTCTACAAACTTTGGTTTTCCTAATAATAGGATAATAGCAAGGTAAACTTCATTGTACTGTCAGAGATTAATAAAATTTCCCCTTTTCCAATATTACCAGCTCTAGCTCTCAGCCTCAAGCCTGATGGCCTGATTCAGCTGTACACTGAGCTGCAACCCACCGTGTTGGAGAGAGGACAAAGGGCAAGCAGAAGGCCTGGTGATGAGGTAACTGCAGATCTGTTGTTGACTGCTGCGAACATTGCCAGATCTAACTACAAACTAATAGTGTCTCACCACCCTCACACTAAATAATTTCTTCCTAATGTCCAACCTAAATCTCCCCTCTTCGAGTTTAAAGCCACTCCCCCTCATCCTATCAGTACCCAGCCATGTAAAAACTCCCTCCCCAACTTCCTTGTAGGTCCGTTCAGGTATTGAAAGGCTGCTATAAGCATAAGTTGTTTAAGATCTTACCCAAAATGCCACTTTGGTCATTCCTGTAGCTTAACACTTAAGTGTGAAAGAGGATTCTGTTCAGTACAGACCTCAGCATTGTGCTGTCCACTGCTCTATGGAAGGTGTACGTAGATGGGGAGGTTAGGTATGATGGATGATTGGCATTTTTGCAAAGCAGTGTGTGCCATGATATGTCTATGTAGCCAACGTAAGGCTGTTGCACCTTGCTGTGAGGTTAGCAAAACACTGCACGGCTTTGTATGTATATGCCCATCTAGAGAACTAAGTAGAGGGGTTGCTGTGAAATGGGTGAAATGGGGGACTCAGTGGTGGTTGTTTCCTCCCTTCTGATATGGAAAAAGACAACTTTTTGGCAGTCAAATCATATTGCTCCATTATAAACTGTAACAGGTTTAACAAAGGAGAAGGAAATATCTCATTCTAGTTTGGTATGATTGTAAGATGTTACCCAGAACCACAGAAGTAGTGTAGTGCCTAAAATATTTGAGAAATAGTCCAAGCCCAAGTGTCTCTGGATGTACCTGACAGCCATTGTTAGCAAGTGATAAGAGTTAGTAGAAACCAAGGTGTCTTCTCAGAGTACGGAGTTGGGCTGACCCAGCAGAAGCCCTTTCAGCCAAGGTCTGCATGGCTGTGTCTGGTGAGCAACTTTCATACCAGAGCAGAGATGCTTTTGCACTTGTGATTGGCCCTTTGCCACCATGCCAGAACTGGTACTTCAGGTGGGTGGTTGATGCTGCTGGCTGGGTAGCCAATGCTTTGGTCACTGTAGTTTTCTTCTGTTTTCTGAGCCTTGGCTTGAGGCTTTGGCTGCTAAAACCCCTGATTGCTATTTTGTTGTCTGGCTTTAGCTTTTAACCCAGAGCCTTTGGGATGGGCTGTTCACTGGACACATCCTGTTCCTTATAAATATGGCACATATTTGGGTCACTGTGATCAGACAATTCAGTTGAAGCAATAATTTTCACATGCTCAGAGAGAATCACATGTTGCTTTTGAGCGCTGCCCTTGCAGTTGGTGGAAGAAAATGACATAGTCTGCCTTTGGCACTGACCTTCTCCAGTAGCACCTCTACCTCACATAATAATAGCAGTCACTGTGTAAAGGGAGTGAAGAATGGAAGGCTGCAAGCCACATAAGCAAAAGTCTTTAGGCCTTTTAGGATACTTCCATGTACTTGCTCTCTTGTTGCTGAAGAAATATATTCAAAACGTAAACTAGAATTTTTACTTGCCTATGCATTTCTACATTGATAAATATAGAAAACTTCTATAGTAAATTTTAGAGCAAACAGCTTTTAAAAGTAAACTGTTCTCTGTATGCTGTATAAATACATATTTAAAATATGTGAGTATTTGCAACTTCTGACAGCTTAAGGAAGTGTGTAGGAGTCATATTCAGTGTCTTAAATACCTCTTTTGACACTAAATGGATTACTTCAAGCAAACATTTTTTGTAATATTCCACTATGGCAGAGAGAACGTTACCTTTCAGTTAATTTCCCATCTGCAAACTGCCACCTGATGCTTCCTGGAAATGAGATGGCTAGTTCAATTCCTGACGTCCATTCTATTTGATGTATAGGTGGCTATTTTCCTTTGAGAGTCAGAACTTGCTTGGTCAAGATGAGAAAATGACCCACACCTTTTTTCCTCTCATTAAGTCTGCTACATTTATTGTCCCCATAAAACTGGGTGGTTCTAACTGCCCTTGCTGTTACAGTCAGACACCAGCAGAAGGAGCAGGAAAACGGAGAATCTCTGAGTTGGTTACTGATAAGGATATGTTTAACAGAAGAAGGTACTTAATGTCTGAAAGAAGTAGCATGAAGAAGAGTAAAGATCTATGGGTCATGGTCAGCCTGTCTGTACAAAACTTGATCTTATAGCAGAGGACAGAAAGAGCAATAAAGGAGTAATCAAAACAACCTTAGCAAACAAGTTAAGAGCAAAGGCCTTAGTTTTACAATACCACTCAGTTAAGCTCCCCTGCCTCCTTTACATGTGATATATTCCCCCGAGACATTGTTTCTACACACACTCTGAAGAAGCCTCCTAGAACCATCAGAATTCTGTCTCTCCAGATGCTATTATGTGGTTCATTTTGATCATCCGGATGGTAAGCATCAGAATAAACCTGAGTAACTGTTTCTTCACTGTCATTTGCTGCTGTTACTAAGACTGACATAACGGAAGTTCATGATCACACAGATCTGGTAGGTCTTTATAAGTGCCCTTCCTAAAGGTGTGCTGCTGGTAAAACTGAAGTTTCAGGCTTGATACAGAAATCACTGGGTGGGATTCTTTGGTCTGAGTTATGGAGAAGGTCAAACTGAGTTACCATAATGTTCTCTGTTGGTCTTAAAGTCTATAAAATTCCTTTTGCATCATTCTACGACCTCTGTGGATTTGAAAGTTAACTGAGAGTTCATGTTGTGCTCAGAGGGAGAGGTGAAACAAAACAGGCCACAAGCTGAATGAAAGACAAGTGAAATTAAAATAGGAACCAGATGGCAAATATGGAAGCCTGAAACCACATGATAGACCAAGGGGAATAAAGAAAAAAATGTGTAACTCTCTGAGAAAACATAGTATGCTGTGTGTTCTTGTTTGCAGTGCCTTAGGCTTAGCAGTATCATTTTGTTCATGGAGCACATGGCATGAAGTGGCCAGATAGCTTTTAATGAGGAGAGGGGGTAGAAATGGATTTCTGTTCCAATAGAAAAAGGTCATGAACTTGAGTATTAAGCTTAAATGGTGGACCCCCTAACTAGTTTGTGAAGAATGCAACAGACCTCTGAAGGGATTTACTGATACTTGCTTAAATGATTCCTTGTCTAAATATGTGTTGGATTCCACATTAACATGCTTGTATAACTTCAAAGTGTTAGCTCAAGAAATTTACAAAAAGTTCAAAAAAGTTTACAAAAGCGGTTGGTAAAGTTAACTTGCAGCTGAATATGGGAAAGGTTCGACTGCTTTGAACCTGAACTGATACTAATACTATCAGTACTAGTGCTTTCAGACCTAAAGCCAAGGCTGCTAGTCATATTTCATTTGGAGGGCTGTTCTTAAAGGCATCAAACTTAGTTTCTAGTTATATCAACCCTTAATTATGTTGGCATCCTTAGATATGGGTTAACTGGATTAGCTTTCTGTATCACTAGCAGTTTCATTATCACCAGTGTGCCCAAATTAATTTCAAGCTGTATTATATATAATTCAATCCTTATGATGTTTTATTGTTAGGACACCACAGATAATTTATTTGAATGGAACATGATGTATTGGAAGTGCTTTTTCATGTGCAGATCATCTTCAAATTCTTAAATGCTCAGGAGCATACATTTGACCAAACATAGAGCATCTTCCAGGCTGAAATCCATAAAACACTGCCTAATGCTTAGCTGTGCTTTAGGCACCTCTGCACCTCTTTCTAGAGTTTAGAGTTTCTAGTTGCTTAAGAATAAGGGAATTCTTATCTTTAGTGATTGCAATAAAGAACGCAGGAATTGTAATAAATGTCTTAGTTTCTTATTTGCTGTCAGAGATTACTGTGCTTTAAACTGGAGGCAACTGCAGGGGTTTACGCTTATATATATGCAAATGTATATATAGATGCATATATATAAATATGTACACACACAGGTACACACACCTTTATTAGGTTCTAGATTTTACGGCAGAATGACATTGTCAATTCCGTACTGGGCAAATGTGGAATACCCAAAGTGAGAGGTGGAAGGTATATTGTAGAGAACTGACAGCAGAAAGCACCTCTGGAATTTGGGGGGCAGGTGAGGATTGCTTTGGGTTGTTGGTTTTTTTAAAAAATAACTTCAAGAAGGTACCTGGAAAGTTTTTAATGATTGATTAGGGATTAATCTATAATCTATACTTCAAAGGGTACCTGCTTGGCAAATCTTGGAAAGGTTTTAAACATGGAACAAAATTCAAGGGATTTCTCTGGCACTCAAGATTTATGAACATATGATAATAATGAAAACATTCCGAAATAAGTTTCTTCCATAAAATGAATTATTTTAAATACACATTTTAGAAGCTAAATAACCATATCAGAAAGTCAAGTTCCAAACTTGCAGATGTGGCTCATACTTTGTTTATCAAGATGTGATATATGCTACTATGAATATTAGTTCAGAACCTAGATCAGTTAAAATTGGATTAATCTTAATTTTTTTTTTTCTTTTTCCTGAAAGATAAAAGAGGAAATCTCATGCATTGTGGGATGTATTGCATTAGTGAAGGTGGGTCAGGGTTTCAGCCTCCTAGTTCTCACTTGTCTAACTTGTCTGTGCCATCAATTTTCATATGAGATGCCATGTTATGATGTATGCTGTTCTTAATGTGGTTTGCTTGGGGAATATGCAAAACCAAAAATGGAACTTGACAGAAATGGTTCCTGACTAGGAGATGGCTCCCACATATGTATGTGTGAAACTACTTTGTTTGGAGGATGTTTTTGGTATTGTGATCCATGCCATTCTCATTTCACAAGTTAGCTTCAGGTCTTGCTTACCCAGCAGTGGAAACTGAGAGGGAGTGTACAAGGCCAGGGATAGACTGTGATGCCAGTGGACACTCTCTTTTGGGCACAGCAAAATCTAGACCCTGCCATGGCTGTCTGCCAGAAGCAAAATTACTACTTGAAAAAGAAGTTTTCATCTTCTGTGTTACCATATTTGTGATTGTAAGCAGCACTTAAAATTTAGTATATTTTCAAAGGAAGGAAGATAACAATAAAATGTTATTATCTGGAAGCTGTTGGCTTTGAAACCTTTCCAGCGTGCTGGTCTTCTGAATAAGCACCAAGGGAGTATCCCCTTGTGTTTGCTGCTGCAACAGGAAATGACTACAGAGAATTGGACTGATATGAGACATGAGCTACATAATTTGCAGGTAGGCTTCTCTAATTCATGCTGTAATGCTGTGAGCTGTAAACAAAAGTTTCCCTTTATTATGTATCTATTTCTGTGCAAATATATGTTTGTTTTGGAAACTAAGGGGAAGTGTTAGGAAGATTATGGCTAGTAGCGGTAGAGGACTTGTGTGTGGAAAAGGAGCCGTTTGGGGAGGAAGAGCAGCTGTGTTGCAGCATATGTAAGGAATGTAAATTGTGTAGAACAGGTGAGGTTAAGGATGCTTTGAGAATGGAAGAATGAATATTTGATGCCACCAGCAATTTGAGTATGACCAGTGGTATCTGAGGATAAAGAGTTTTTCAGTTTTATGAGAACATGGTTTTTGGTCTTTGTTTAGTAACCAGAGCTATAGTCATAGGAGTGGGTGAATCTGTGACTTGTTAGTCAGCTCTGTAGTTGTGTAGTTTCCAAGTGAGTTATGGTAGTCATGAGAAACACTGTAGAACAATGAAAGAAGAGATATGCTTTGTTGTATGTGTACAAATTTTCTTTTTCCTTATCGTGGCTCAGAGATGAGTGTTTGCAAAGACTGTAATACTTGTATTGGAGACAATGCCAGTAAGTTTCTATAAGAACAAAATATATCTATGACATGGGGTATAGGTTAAGCCACTACTAGTTTATTAGTAGAGAAATATGTGTCCAAGATTTAAGATGGGACATCTATTTTTTATTGTATATTTAATTCTACAGTGAAATAGTTTAATCTCCAGGAGGCAAAGCTCTGAGAATGCAAGTAGTCAGTTTTGGGCAAAAGTAGGCTATTCTGAAAGGATTTTTTTCTCTCCAGTTTCTTTGCAGTGGTCTAACTTATAGATCTCCTCAGCTTTGATATTGTATGTGGATATCAGAGGATCCAAAATATTCTGAGAAGTCATAATATATTAGCTGAATGAAGAAAAGCAATCTTACACTTAGTTTACTTTAACTTGTAATTAAAATTGAAGGAAACTTCAGCTGTTTAAAAATCCATGCCACAGTGTGGGGTATTGAGGAGTGAGGATTTCAGTGGAGCTCTCTTTTTGCTGTCTTCCTGTTGGCATGCTCAGCATTTGGTTTGCTCAGCCAAACATTTCAGTTGGGCCACCTGCTTGCCAGGTTCTTGTTCACATGGGGCTCCAGGTCACCTCTCTGCCATGCGTAAAGATGCAGCAAAGACTGTGCAGTTGGAGTGCTGCACCCCTCAGAACTATTTGCCCAGAGGTTTTTGTAGGCATGGAAACACATTTAAATGGGGCAAATACTGAATGCTGAGGTGCTGCAGGCTACACTGAATGCTACATTTGAGCAGTACCAGACAAACCAACCCAGCAGCAACAGTCAAGAACTAGAAACTGCAGCCATTAGGCAGGAGCATGTGGTTGCATCCAGAAGGGCTCCTGTGCCAGCATCTCCTGAGATGTTGGAAGACTGAACTCTTTAAATATCAAGTGGTGCATATGAATGGCTGCATTAAAACCAGTTCTGCTTTGGCCAACCTCAAACCACTTTTAAAAGGAACCTATGGGAGCTGGGAGGGAGGATCTGTAAGGAAATAAAAAGTTATATCCCCTGACTCAAAGGTAGCAAAGGAAAAGCAGGGATGACTGACCTATCAGCCAGCCAGGGTGCTCCTCTGGCAGTGACAGACACATAATGTCCCATCTAACAGAAAGTACACCACTGAGACAGTGAAAATGGTTCCCTGAGTAACAGGGAATTAGCTGGGAACTTCCCAGCTAACACCCTGCATGATGCTGAATACTAGTCGCCACTGCAGTTATTATTCAAGTACTATTCTGTTTGGTTGGATTTTATCTGAGTTTGCTAACAATGTCAGCTTAACACCATATTTTTTGGGAATAAACAGATATATTCTTCCAGGCTTGCTGCTTTTTTTTGTTGGTTAGTTTTTTTCATTTTTTGTTGTTGTGAAAGGAAGAGTGACTAGGACTTGGGGGCAGAAGGGACGAATAGTTTTTCAGGAATGTTTGGTTTGTAATGGAAACTTACTACACTGCCATGAAATTCATTGTATGTTGTCAAGAAGTAAGGGTGGAGGCAAAATAAAGCTGGGCTTCAGCTAGCAGAAAACACGTAATGCAAACAGACTGGGAAGCCAGGTTTGTGGTTGCACAGGGACTATAAACCCTTTAACTAGCCAAACTGAATAGCTTTCAGTCGCACTGTTAGCTACAATGTTAATACAAGTTATTCTAGCACTAATCTGTTGTTAATGAAAGTAAAATTAAAATGCAAGCTCATTGAATGTTCCGTGTTTATATTTTGTACTCCCAAGACATTTGGAGAATGTGCCTTAAAATATCAAGAATAAGTAATCCAAAGCAGAAGAGAAAAGAATGCAGTACTGTTACCAGCAGATCTAAAAAGAAGGGTTTGAATAAAGGAAAATATTTCTCCATTCACCTTGAACTTCAATCTCATTTCTGAGTGGATTAGTGTGCATGTTAATAAGGCTACCAGAAAAATAATTATGGAAATGCAGGGTACTGGCTGCAGCACCTGAATAAGGTTCTGAATTTCTGAAAATACAGTGATTGTGTCTCCTGTGAGAAATGAAAAATATCTACCAAAGAAATATGCCTCCAGGATGGACTTTAATAGCACATAAATTGAGTTTTTCCTGTTAAAAACCATATTCCCACAGAATTTTGACACACATCTGTGTCACCTTCATATAAATCCCATAGAGTCAGCAGTTCTTTACCTCCTGTTCCAACCCCATGCAAAGGCTTTGACTATAGTTTCTGCTTAGCAATCTCAAAATCACTTACCTAAGAGATCTTGCTCCTGCACAACTAAAATAAGTGCCAGTGCCCAAAGGAACAGCATGGTTTCAGCCTCTCCAAGCTCTGCTGTAGTCCTAGCGGAGAGCCCTGCAGCCTCCCTCCCCAGCTTTGCATCAACTCCTCGGTCCAGCCGTTTGTGCTGAGGTTTAGCCAGAGTTAGGAGGAAATATGCCCAGGCTGAGCCAAGATTCTTGAGCTGTTCTCTTCTGCTTCACTCCTTTTAAAAAACACCCCTCCAGCTCCACACAAAGTCCAGTTACCCAGGCAAGCTGGCAGTGGTCCCAAGCTCCCCAAAGGTCTTGTGTTTTTTTACCCTTCTATTTATTTACACAGACTACAACTGGAATGTGCTAAAGAGATATGAATCCTGTAAATATGGCAAGTGGAGCAAGAAGAAGAAGGGAGAGAGGAGGAGTAAGGGGTACTGGATGTTTCTTTCCCTGTAGTGTTTTATCTAGGGCAGGGAAAACAGAAGCACTGGCCAACACATTATCTTTCAGGTATTGTGATCTTACAGGACTTTTTCCATTATTTGTTCACTTTTAAGACTACAGAGAAGTCTTCTTTTGGGCAGGCTGAGGTCCCATTGGGCAATGTGTGGCAGGATTGTGGGAAGTGCCAACAGTCTATGCCCCTTCTTTGGACAGTATTGTAGGAGCTTCTGAGGAGCCATATGAGCTCTTTTCAGTTTGGAAGGTGTTTGGAATAGGTTGTTAGATTTGGTAATGTCACATGTAAAAACAGCCTAACTAGTGGTATTCTGGCAATGTATGTAATGTTGTAGCAGCATCTTCATTAAATGTTAACTGTTTGTCTTGAGGGTTCATAGGAACTGACTAGTTAAGTGTCAGTCTATTATCCCACTAGACCAGTATTCAAAGACTTAATCACAGAATCATAGAATGTCTTGGGTTGGAAGGGACTTCTAAAGGTCATCTAGTCCAACCCCCCTACAATGAGCAGGGACATCTCACACTAGAACAGGTTGCTCAGCGTCTCATCAAGCCTGACCTTGAATGTCTGTAGGGATGGGGCCTCCACCACCTCTCTAGGTAACTTGTTTCAGTGATCCACTACCTTCACATTAAAGAACTTTTTCCTAATGTCCAACGTAAATCTACCCTTTTCTAGCTTTAAACCATTGCCCTCTGTCCTATCATTACATGCCCTAGTGAACACGTCTTCCCCAGCATTCTCATAGGCCCCATTCAGGTATTGGAAGGTTGCTCTAAGGTCCCCCCAGAGTCTTCTCTTCTTCAGGCTTAAAGTATCTCATTCCTGGTATTGTTCCTCATACCCACTTGAAATGAGTTACATTTTTTCCAAACTATTGTAAGCAAAAGGTGAAAGGTCCTTAAGACATCCTGCTAAATCCTGAAAGCCATGGTCCAGGATAAGCAGTATTCTAACTAATGAAAGTTAAAACCTGCAAACTAGAACAGATTTTCTTAGTCTTCACCACCTCTCTAGAAGTCAGAAAATCAAGCTATTTGAATAAGAAATCTGAAAATAAGCCTGTAGAGATGCTATCAAAGAGTTTGAAGTATAATCATTCTTGGTGACTTCCAAATCAAGTTCAATTGTAAGTTAAATTACAAGCCAAAATAGCCTCAATAATGAAGATTCAGTGGCTGGAATTTAGCTCATAACTTTGCTGAGCAAAACAGTGCACAGAACGACCTCAGGGTGTATTAAGCCCTCAGGGCTGGTGTTAGTAAGCTAACATTTGTATGCAACAAAAATGAAATGGGCAATGAGTGGCAGTGTTTTTCTAGGTGTTTTGGTTAAAGCATTACATAGCAATACTGCAATTTTTACAAATTCTTGTTTGGAGAATAAATCTGATCATGCCTTATGAAAAATTGCATAACTTTTAATTTTGTTATAAACAGGTTTTTAAACAGGAGCTGTGACTGGTAACAGTGAGTCCACTCCTGGATTTATTCTGTTTTAATATGAGATACTGATGTGGTAGGCTATAATTTTTGATGTGAGAGGCTATTTCTGTCTTGTCTGTGTTATCTGAGCTTTGGAGAGAGGAGACCGAGGGGCAGACAGAGAATATTTATGAATAGTTGCCTGCTGTCTTCTAAATGTTTTCCTTTACTTTTGTCCTTTCTTAAGCAGAATTCTCTGTATTGCTAAGGGAGCGTGTCCGTGGGTGCTTTTCTGCATGCTGTCTGTCTGCTGTCCTCTGCATCATACCATTTAAAAGCAATAAACATTAATTTCCCCTCTAACATGCTATAAAAAATAACAGAATTTCCATTCTAGACCAAATCTGCTGAGATCACTTGCCCTCTTAATAGCACATTTCTTCGAGGTTCCTCCTGAGATGCTCTCAAGGCTCCTGGAACAATTCAGTCCCTGCAAGGCACTTGCTTCTTATTTTTACATATTGTGTCATGTTTGACCATAGTGAGGTGCTGGTCTAATAGCTACGGAGAAGTAAACAAAACAGTGAGGGTTTTCTCTAGTATCTACTCCAGGGGGGTTGTTTCTGTAGTGAGAGAGAAGGTCTTTCTGGTGCAGGGAAATGCAGCCAGAAAGAATACTTCTTCTGAGTGAGGTTCTGGTTTTCTGTAGAACTACCTGTCCTGAGAATTTGGATTGGACTTTTGTTACTCATAAATACTCAGAATGAAGCTACAGATTGAGGCAATTTAACTAGCGAGATGAAATACAAAAAAATCCAGGGTGTGTGACAGAAATAATTACATTGCAAGGTAGATTTTTTCAGTGCAAGACTGAAGATTTGAGAGTAGAAGAAAGATGACGATACAAACCTATTTGTATTCTGAAAAGTTAGTAACTGATTACCATCAGAGAGAGCATTCCTCAGCATGTTCATCTTGGAAATGTCCATATATGAGAATATAATGAGATCATATGAATATAGGCTTGCACAAAATCCAGCTGTTGAGATGTTCCCAAGATATAAGCAGCCAAAAAAAGCATACCAGGGAACAGGGATGTGAATGTTTCCCAGCAGGCAGTCCGGTGAAATGGAGAGCAAACACAAGGATCAAGTCTATTTTGGGAGTGTTTGTTTTTTGGTGTTTTGGGTTGGTTTTTTTTGTACAGTCCTTTTGTATCTGTTTCTTGGACTAGTTCAATGCTTGGCAAAAGCAGTAAATTAGTGCATAGTGATCCCACTGACTGCCTAGGGAGAAGGGACAGAATAAACAAGGGGTGCGCATTGGCAGGGGACATGTGTCCCATAAGAAAAAGATGTAATTGTTCTTGGGCATGAAATCCTGCAGAATGAGCTAACAGTGGATATAGCTGAGCATACACTTGGCAGAAATTGGACTGCACTGTACTGTAGTCCCTTGGGACTTTAAGTGAGACAGAGAGAAAATTAAGTGGAGATTACTTCAGGGAACAAAAATATGGTGGAAAAATCTTCCTTGTAGGAAGAGGAAAGCACCTTACAGTGAAGAGAAGGAAAGAAATGAGTAATGTGTGTTCTGGATTTAACACTGCTAGATGATTAACTCAGTGCAAGGGTCATGTGTTCTGCCTACCTGCCCCTGGGAGAAGAGTTGTGTCCATTTGGAACTACGGAGATTCCCTGGGCTCTTGTAACAAGCTTACTATCTGCTAGCTGCTCATGACCAGGATTTCTTGCTCCTTGGAGGCTGTTGAACACCTTATGTATGCATCAAAAGAGGCTTACCCAGCAGGCTGAGGTGATTCTGCTAGTGTTTATTATCTAGATTTGTAAGAGACATAAAAATAGTGACGTTATTTTGCTATCGTCCTAAAGGCATAACGTTTGACACTGAAAAAAAAAAAAAAAAGTCTATCAGATGGTTTATGGTATGATGCACTGTCAAGGTCAGCTCTCAGTATGTGTCATGGAGCTGACAACTCTGATCCAGACTTCTTCAAAACAATAGCTTTGTATTATGCCTAAAGCCAGCAGTGAGTCAGCTGCAGGAACTGACTCTTGTGCCATCTCAGTGCCAGCACACGAGGTTGGGTTCTGTTAGCCAGCGTTAGGTAAGCATCCCATGGCTTCAGGCCGATTCACACCTGTGGCTTCAGCTTTCTGAGCAATCATCTGTGGGGAAACTCAATCAGGAAGCTGAAGGAAAAGGTTGGACATGTGCAATATTGGTGAATGTTTTTTATTTTTAACCAGTTCTTAGATCCTTTCATTTGACAGATTTCATACATTTGATGAAGCCTGGTCATGCCTCCAAAGCCCCGATGAGATATAGTATGTGGTGTCCCTGCTGATTTCAGACAAAGGAAAACTTTGTCCTAACAAAGTTGCATTAACTGTATTGCCAGCTACATTAATGACTCAGGAGTACCAATCTTGTATTGCAGACATGGTGATCTTATAATATGTGCTATATTTTCTATTACAGAAGGCTGCATGCCTTTGCTTTTGTAACATTATGTCCGCCCACTTGAGTCACATAAAAATGTGAAATGTATCTGTGAGTCCATGGCAGATAATATTCTAGAAAATAATAGTCACAGGGGAAGTACTTGGTTTTTCCCAAATTAGAATTACTCAGCTAGTGTCTTTAGCAGTTCAGTGTTGCAAACCACACCAGTTAAATGAGATAATTACTTGAAACTGGACCAGCATTTTTATTCTGTGAAGCAGCAGCAAATATCTGAGAAGCTATTCATCTGTTGAATAGCACCTTCCTGAACACAGGTCATGACAGAGCAGTAAGACAGAGGTCTGTCTTATTTTACATCTGTGTACCTTTCTGCATTAGACAATGCATCAGACATGAATATAGATAATATTTACCATATGAGGAACTTGTGACGTGGAGATATCTAATGAAACATAGAAACAGCTGGAAGTAAATCCCATTTTGGATTACTAATCAGCCTATTCTTGCCTCTTAATTACCTCAAGGTCACAGACAGATGCAAAGGAAAGAGCAACTTGCCAGAGAGAGAAGCCAAGCTAATCACTCCAGTGCCTTTCCTCTGAAAATTTACAGAACATGTATTATTTTACCGCCAATGTAGTAAAAAACCCAGGTTAAGATTCCTTCTAAAATATATGTG